CCCCCGCCGCCCCCGGGGCTCCACTAGGGCCGTCCCATGCCGAGGTGACGGATGAGCTCGACGGCGGCCGGCCGGGGGAGGACTCCCTCTTGCACTCTGCGGACGAGACGGAAAGCAAACGTCAGCTGTCAGTAATGCGGTGACTAGACCATACCTTCTTTTGACAGTCAGTATATCGAACAGTTACCACATGAAGCTAAATACACATCATGAGAATTTTTTTTTTAAAAAAAAAAAGAATATACGGCAAGGATGCATGACGCACCGTCAGACGAGGCCGATCGGTCCCGGGCGACAGTCACCGCCGTGCTGAACTGCTCCTGGCCGGATGGAAAACCTTATAAGAGGAAACAAGAAGTGTGTGTTGAGAACAGTGACGGTTGGTTTTAAGTCTCAACTCAAACGCACGTAGGGTACTACACATGCATGGAGAACTTCACACTGAAGACGAAGAGATACCCCCTATCTAAAGTCGCTCACCGCCTCAGCGGCTGGAGACAACCGCTTACCCCTTAAGTCACCTTTTCACCGAAAATGCAATATTGGTATCGTTAGGAAGAGGCGGAAATCCTCTTTCGAATGATGCCAATTTTACAATTTCGACAAAAAATCAACTTAAGCGTTTATTCAGAGCCTCCCATGCGGTAAGCGGTTGTCGGGAGCGTCAAACGCGGTAAGCGGTTGTCCCCAATCATCAAGACGGTGAGCGAGTTTAGATAGGCGGAATCGAGAAGAGGAGCAGTCAAAACGTAACGAAAATGATTTTGTTCTGGTGTAGGCTAGGCTTTGATTGGTCTATAGCGGACGATCGATCAGACCTTAACAAAACTGCCACATTGGTATGCTCCTGGCTGCTCATCTTCCGCTTCTTCTTGTTGCTGAATTTCTCCAGAATGTCAGCTCCCGCGGGAAGTTTAAAAAGGACCACCTACCACCTCGTCCAGCCTTGCCTGACTCCTGACTGCCTCGTCGAATATTAATGAAACAAAACAGCCCCTCCCACTGTCGCACCTGAGGGACCCCGTCAGTGAAACTGGGAGCAGAATCTGACTCGGGATGATAAAATCTGTGCGGCCTAAATGGGGGGCTAGCCTAATGCCAGTGCACAAGAATGAATATTGCAAAAGTCAACAACGCAACAACAGAACACGGCCACTTTGCAACGCGAGGGCTGCTGAGGCATGGCCCGGCCTGTTGGAAGGGTGGGTTAGAATGTGTGGGCGGGGGGAGAGGGGAGGGGGGGTCTCGCAAGGATACAGTCCTCGCGACACTATCTACTCACCAACCTGTTCCGTCACCGCCTTCCTGTCCTGTACAAAGTATCTGTCTCTGCCTTCCC